GATAAACATGGGTGTGCATATATCTGCTTGGATGTCAGTTATGGTCTCTTTGGGGTTTATTCCCAGTCGTGGAATTGCTGGGTCCAATGGTATCTCTATTTGCAACTTTTTGAGAAAGCACCTTACCGCCTTTCACTGTGGTTGCACCATTTTACACTCCCAGCAACAGTGAATAAGGGTTCCAGTTTCTCCACAACCTGACCAGCATTTGTAGCTTGCTATTCTGTTAAATTTTGCTATTTTGACTGGGGTGAGATGATATCTCATAGTTATTTTGTTTCCCCAGTATTTTTATGGGGATATCCTCAAGTCTAAAGTTGTTTTTTTCCCCCTTGGTGCACACCTGTGATGAGATTTAAGATGTTATTTTGCAAGTGTTTTACTAGAAAGCACTGAAATTCTTCTGGCAGTATGGAAAACCATTTTCAGGATTTTGGAGTTACTTCCTTCTAAATCTTTCTTACAGCATTTACTTGACAGTGGTTTTTGTCCTTTCAAAACAAAATTTTTTTAAATTACATTTAGACTTGATTGTTCTCTTCCCTCACTAGCATTTAAACTTTGCTGATTCCAGCAAAAAGCACAAGAGATTAAACACTGTTACACAGATTTAGTGGTGATGTGATTACCTCTGCCAGTAACACCTGTAGAAAATAAGTAGCCAGGAGTGAATCAGTAGTTCTTAAGAACCAGATAACCTTTCTATTCACATTTCATCTCATTTTGACGAGTAAGTCTTTGATTGTGTGGACCTACTGCTATTAGAGATATTTTCTGATGTCTTATATTAAGATCCAATGTGACATAATGTGATTCACCCCCCCCCCCCAGTATTTTCCTTTTAGGTACACTTCATGACATTTAAGAACAAGTAGAAGAAAATAAAATTAATTAGAGCATCAGAACTTTTTAGAAACTCTTCTAATACAGTGTTACACCTTATAGTGTGATTAATCCATGAAGCGTAGCATGAACACTTGGGTATACATGTATACAACCTTATTTTAACCCCTTTATCAAACTCTCTTATTTCTAGAACTTTAGTACTTTAAACTTGAGAAATCAAAAATCTCCCATGCTACCATTACACCACATTCTATTTTAGTAAGGTCAGCTAAACAAGCTTTCAGGTCCATTCCCCACAAATGTTGGTTTAAATCCTTCCCATACTAATTAACCCCTTATTTTTTCCATTATCCTAATCACAATATTTACAGGTTCCATCCTCACTATAATTAGCTCTCATTGACTTAGAGCATGAGTAGGCCTAGAAGGAAACCTATTCGTTATTATCCCACTAATTGTTAAACCTCAGAGCCCACAGTCAATTGAAGGAGCAAGCAAATATATTCTTACCCAAGCCTCTGCCATCCATACTTCTAATAATAGCTGTTTGAATGAACTTCACCAGTTCTGGACAATGGTCTATCGTCAATATATCTAACCCAGCTGCTCTTTCCTTATGTTATTTGCATTACTTATAACTAGGCATAACCCCATTCCACTTTTGAGTCCCAGAAGTCCTTTAAAGTACCTCATTAATAATAGGTGCCATCCTATTTACATGACAAAAGCTAGCACCCTTCTCAATTCTGTATCAAATCTCAACATCAGTTAATCACAACATCCCATTAACATCCACCTTTGCATCAATTTTATTAGAGGGCTGAGGTGGATTTAACCAAACTCAACTGCGAAAAATTATCACCTGCTCATCACTTGCCCACATAGGATGAATAACCACTGTCATCATCTATAACCCCACTATAACTTTGCTCAATCTGATAATCATTGACAGGTTCATTTATTTCCATGATTGTAGTAATTCTTATAGTATTCATTGTCTGAGAAGCATTCACCTCAAAACGAGAAGTAAAAATAATTGAATTTACCACAACAAACATTGAATGAATTAATGGATGTCCCTCACCATATCACACATTCGAAAAACCTACTTTCATCAAAGCTTAACCAAGAAAGGAAGGAATTGAACCCCCAAAAGCTGGTTTCAAGCCAACCACGTAACCACTACGACTCTCTTCATTAGAGGTATTAGTATAAGCAATACATAACTTTGTCAAAGTTAAAATATAAGCCAACACTTTATATATCTCTCTGGCTTATCCCTTCCAATTTGGATTCCAAGATGCCTCCTAAGCAATCATAGAATAACTAATTCACTTCCATGATCATACCCTAATAATTGTGTTTCTAATTAGTTCGTTAATTCTTTGTTATTTCAGTGATACTAACCACCATACTTACACTAGCACTAACACAAAATGACATTAAAAAATTATTGTATTCTCAACCTCAAGCCCACTTGGCCTAGTAGTAGTATCTATCAGCATTAACCAACCACATCTAGCATTCCTACACATCTGTACCCGTGCATTCTTCAAAGCAGTATTATTTATGTGCTCCAGATCTATCAGTCATAGCCTCAATGATGAACAAGATTATCTGAAAAATAGGTTGTTTATTTAAAACTCTACCATTTACCACTTTGGCCCTAATTTTTGGCAGCTTAGGCCTACAGGCATACCTTTTCTCACAGGGTTTTACTCAGAAGACCTAATTATCAAAACTGCCAACTTCTCGCACGCCAACGCCTGAACCATCATAATAACTTTAGCAGCAACATCAGTAATAGCCATTTACAGCACCTGTATCATTTTCTTCGGTCTATTAGGTCAACCACGCCACCATGCACTAATCCTTATTAATTAAATTAACCCTAATTTAATTAACCCTATTAAATGCCTAGCAGTAAGAAGAATCTTCAAAGGCTACCTAATCTCTAATTATATCACCCCTAGTACAACCCATCAACTTACTATACCTACACATTTAAAATGTACAGCAATAATTGTAATTTATTAGCCTTCATTCTAGCCATTCTAGCCCTCAGCCTGAAACTTAGCACACCATCCAACACCCACAAATTTTCAGACCTCTTAATGTTTTTCCCAACCACCATTCACCGCTCACCCACCTACACAAGCCTTAACACCAACCTCAACCTAGCATCAACCACTCAAGACCTATTATGACTAGAAAACATCATCCCTAAAAACAACTCAACCATCCAAAAAATGGCATAGTGAACCTCTCCAATCAGAAAGTACTAATCAAACTACATTTTCTCTCCTTTCTCATTACACTAATTTCAGGAATCCTCATATTTATTGTAAGCCTGTATGTGCCAGTTAACTTCTGGCTGTTAGCCACAGAGAATAATTCTTAATAGCATACTTCATCTACATGTTATCAAGAGTAGAGCTTCTGTTTCATTTATAAATGTCAGCTCCCATGCCAACTGATGAAACCAAAAGGTGTCTTAAGTCTGCTAGTCCACAGAAGTGTTATTTCTGCCTCACTGATTCTCTAGCTTTGTTTGACTCAAGGTGGTTCTAGAAAGAGAGTTTTTTAAAAAAAATTACAAAGAATCTGTTCGTTGAAATTCTTCACCAATAGGAGAAATCTTTGGTGGCCACATTGAAAGCAAACCTTGACTTCAGCCATGCACGTGAGAGCTTGGATTACCCTGAAAATCAGTATTATTAATGGAAAATACTGTTTGTTTTAAAAAGCAGGAAGTATAGCATCCTCTAAATAGAAGCAAGTATATATCTCAATTACATCGAAATGCAATACATATTAAAAATCCTGAGCTTCCTTATTTCTTCAAGAGTATAATTATCAATTAGAACTTAAAATTAGGGTTTTTTAAATAAGAAAAACATGTACTTAGATGCCTGGGGTAGTCATTTCTTTCTCCTTCTAAAACAATATGACTTAGTCATTTCTATATGGAAGCAGGAATGGCATCCACTTCCTAAACAACATGCCTCTGGAAATTCTATGAACTTTGAGAAAAGAGGATAGTTATAAAAAGGTTTAATGTCTTCTGTTCATAGGGTCACTGAGTTGTGCCCAACTCAAAGGTACAACATTTAGATATATAACCTCTGTTTACCAATCTGAAACTTTTATTATATTCAAGAAGAAGTAGACTTTGCAACCATTCTGTGAACTTGGAACAGGATTTGCTAAGTATTACTTAAGTATTGGTCCTATTAAAATATAGAATGTAAAAAAAAAAACAAAACCCAAAACAAAAAACCACAACCAAACATTAGACCACTTTATCTTTTGACTATGAGAGAAACATTTTGTTTTATTTATGTTGTTGGGCTTTGACTAGACAGGCTAGATTCACCACTGCAATATTAGTTTAGTAGCTGGCTGGGGTGATAATCTATATTTGTAAATTCCCTGATTAAAAAAAATAACTTTATATAAAAAATCAATGAAAATTGAAGGAGAAAAAGAAAAAAAAAAAAGCCAACCAGGGTATGGGACGGGGAGTTCTGAATCTGGTAGCTTCCTTAGGTTCTTTATGGAAAGTGGTTGTTGTGTGCCATTGAGTCAGAACTGACTCATGGGTGACCCTCCAGCAGGTTTTTAGAGGCAGTAAATGACACAAAAGAAGATTGCCCATTCATCTCCCACAGAGCAGCTAAGAAGCTAAGCTCTGGTGGCCTAGAGGTAAGAGCTGATTTTATTGTCACTATTTCCAGTTTTGAGGGCATAGCAAAGGACCATTTTCTGGTGTTCAGTGCTGTTTGTGGCTTTTGTTTTTTCTCCCCAGGTCTGAGTTCCTTCTACTCGGAGCTGATGAAAGGACTGGGTGCTGGAGGACGTCTCTGGGAACTCCTGGAGAGAAAGCCTGTGCTACCCTTCAATGGTATGTTCTCCAGGAGTTAATTTTTTTCTGGGATAAGTGTAGCTTTGGAAAATTAAACAGCCCCATCCTGTTGACCTGGGTAGGGACACTTCATTTTCGATGACTGCATTTTGTTGTGCATTGGAGCTGTTCCACAGCTTTGACTCTCATTGCCTGTCTACTCTCAAATTTTTATACATGTCTGGCTTTTCTTTTTTTATATTAAATTTTATTA